AGGGACAGGACTTTTGTTTCCTCAATAACCACACGGGGCAGAGGCTCCATGACTGAAGCAGGGATCTTGTCTGGACAATGCCATCGCCTGGACACCAGAGGGCACCCAGGGGCAGTGCCAGCTGGAGGTGCGAGAGCAGCAGGGCCGGAGCCCACACTGCATCCATCGTGGCCTTGACCCCTCCTCGTCAGGCCGGGAGCCGGATTCTGGAGCCACTGGCTAAGAACCCACCCAGATGGCGTGGGTTCAAACCCCAGCTCTGCCCCTAGTAGCTCTGCGGCCTTAACCAACTAGACTCGATGGATATCAGCATCCTCACCGCTACAGGGTGGTGACAGTAGTAGTGCCTGTCTCAGAGGGTCATCGTGAGGATTAAACCAGCTAATACAGTGCTTGGCATGCAGTCGGGGTGCCACCTGAGCGCTGACAAAGCGGCCCTAGAGGAACGGTGACCTGCAGCCGCCACAACACTGGGGACACAGGCGGACCTGGGGCCCAGGCCTTGACTCCAAGGCCCCTCCTGCTCTCTCCTCTCCCACCCACGGCCCTCCACAGCTCACCAAGGGCGGACAGCCGGCAACCACCTGAGTGAGACCCCCCGACTCGACCACACACCCCTACCCCGAGGCGGCTGCTCTGCGGGGATCGTGTCTCCCAGGCTCTACGGAATGTCATTTTCTCTTTGCTTGGTGTCTAGATTACTCCATTTCAATCCAGCCTCCAAACGGCCTGCAAGATGAGCCCTGATAAATTCCCATAAAACCACAGGCAGAGACGCTCGATCTGCGGTGTGGACCCCCCGTCCCCAGGGAGGCCCGGCATCCGGACAGCCATCTGTCACCCCCAGAGCACATGTGTGGGAGCTGCCGGGGCAGCCACACCTCATCGGCAGCCGTCTTGGAAGGGCCTCTGAGCCCTTTGCCCTGGGGCCTGAAACCCTCCACCACCTGCTGCCCCCAGGGCCAAGGACACAAACCCACAATCTCCAATCACAGCCCAGCTTTCTCGACCATCGCTCCGGCCAGTTCAGGAGCCGGCTAGAGCCTTGCCCAGGATCACTTGGCCTAGGGCGGCAGAGCCAGGCCTTGGTCTCTGGGCTTCCACCTCAAAACCCCGGCCCTAAGTGGCAAAGCAGGTGCCCATGAGAGAAGAGGCCTGCAGATGCGTGTCCAGCAATCTTGGCTGGTGACACAGCCTCCCGCTCCCCGCAAGCCAGCAGCAGGCAGTGTTCAACTTCTGGGAGGCTCCTGTACTTGGTTTGAACTGGATCCAGGTTTAGTGCCATCTCTGCCTCTGGCTAAAGGGTGTGGGTGCAGCCCCGCCCAGAAGCAATCACCTGTTAGGGAAGCCTGGGGCCCAGGCACTCTGGGGTGGATCACGCCGTCAGCCTACTGACCTCATGTTGTATGAGCTGTTATGTGGAAGGAACGTGCTGCTGAGGCCACCCACCCTGGCCAGCTGGAAGGGGAAAGGTCATTCCAAGAGCCATTCACCCATGGATGCCGCAGGAAGGAACCCACTCCCCGGAGGGGAAGGCGGACAGCTAGCTGTGCCCTAAACTCATCCTCCCCGTTCTGCCATGGTGACGGGGCTCCCAAATGTTAGCTGGCCACATGGCTGCCCAGAATAAAGACCACTTTCCCCGATTCCCTCGCAGCTCAGTTTGTAACTCGATTCTGACCACTGAGATATGAAAGAGCATCACTGCGGCTTCTAGAATTTTCCTTAGAAGATACCCAGGGCTGTTTCCCTTTGCTCCCTTTTTCTCAGTCCCCTCTCCATCCTAACGTCTAGACTGTAGATGTGGTGGTTAGAGTTTCAGCACCACCTTGGAGCAGGAGGGCTACGCCAGAAGAACAACGAGCTGGGGGAAGCCTAGGTCCCTGCCATCACTCGCCAGCACCGGCCAGCTTTCCTCTGGGCTTTTACGTGAGAGAGAAATGAAGTCCATCTCATTTAATCCACCCTCCAGGTCTCTGCTATGGCAGCAACTTTGTCAGCGGGTTTCAGACTGACACGTCTGCAGCCGGAAGGACCCTGCCTCCCCTCCAGGCTCTGAATTAGGAAAAGATAAGCTCTGGGAGCGTGGAACTGAGATGGCGCCAACCACACGGAGCCGCCCAGGTCCTCAGACAGGTGAGGCTGGGAGCTCCAGGCAGCAGGCTTCACCTGTCCCCCACAGCTGATGCTCTGTGCAGCGATGGATGGCCCGAGCGTGGACCCTCGGTCCAAGGGCTCTGCCTGTTAGCCCCGGGAGACCCTCCCCATGTGTCACAGCCCACCAGCCCACCCCTAGTGCAGAGCAGGGAGCCCTGTCACCTCCCTGCAGCAGCCTCACCCACCGCCCTGACTTCTGTGCAGTCACCAAGGCTCTCTGAGGACAGGGAGAGCCACGCTGGCACAGGGGTGGCGACAGCTCCAGGAGTTTCTGCCAAGCCCCTTCTCCCAAGACAAAAGCGGTGTCACCTGGACTGCTGTACCTGAGGAACTGAAAGGGTAATTCCGGCCCTTTACAGCAGGCCTAACAGGGCTGCGAGCCTCCAGGAATTGCAGGAGTGCGGCAGGGGAGCGCCAGGGATGCGCTTCCCAGAGCAGGTTCTCTGCATCTGCGCCAGGAGCAGCCTGGCCTCTGGGAGGATGGGAGGTGGGAGCCAGCAGTGCTTCCGCATGTACCGCCCCGGGTGGGCAGGAAAAGGCTCCAGGAAGTCCCAGCCTCTGCCTGCGCTCCTGGAAGAATACCAACCCGGCTCGGTGTGCACGATAAGGAAAACCCAGGGTGCAGCGGTCACGGCCCACCCACACAATTCCTGCTGG